AATACAGATGGAGCGGGAGGACATTATCTTAAGTGAGCTAATGCAGGAACAGAAAACCAAATACTGCATGTTCTCACTTGCAAGTGGGAGCTAAACATTCAGTACACATGGACACAAAGAAAGGAACAATAGACACTGGCGTCTACTTCAGGGTTGAGGGTGGGAACAGGGTGACAATGGAAAAACTACCCATCAGGTACTATGCTTATTACCTGGGTGAGGAAATAATCTGTACACCAAATCCCCCACGACACACAATTTACCTGTATAATAAACCTGTGCATGTAACCATGAAACTAAATTGAATATTAAAATTAATTGCTGTGATTCCGAAATATTTGCAAATGCAAACAATAGATGCACAACATCTATTTCTCTATTAATCTCTTTTGAAATAAATTTTATTGTGTATTTTCAAGGTACACAAAATTATATTATGGGATCATATACAAAGTAAAAAAAAAGTTACTAAAGTGAAGCAAATTAACATACTCATCTTCCGAATACTTGCCCATTGTTTTATTTGCTTTTGTAGGCAAAAGCAGTTAAATTCTACTCATTTAGCACGAATCACAAATACATGTCTAAATTTTATTATAAAAATACAAAGCCAAGAGGGACTAGGCAGAGCCGTGGAACCGCTGCCAGGTCGCTGTCGGTCCACGTAGCGCTGCCAGCGCGCTCAGCGTCCGCCGCCGCCATGGGAGTCAGGTGGAAACCATCTCCCCAGGAGACCGGCGCACCTTCCCGAAGCGTGGCCAGACCTGGGTGTTGCACTACACCGGGATGCTTGAAGATGGAAAGAAATTTGATTACCCCCGGGACAGAAACAAGCCCTTTAAGTTTATGCTAGGCAAGCAGGAGGTGATCCGAGGCTGGGAAGAAGGGGTTGCCCAGATGAGTGTGGGTCAGAAAGCCAAACTGATTATATCTCCAGATTATACCTATAGTGCCACTGGGCACCGAGGCATCATCCCACCGCATGCCACTCTCGTCTTTGATGCGGAGCTTCTAAAACTGGAATGACAGGAATGGCCTCCTCCCTTAGCTCCCTGTTCTTGGATCTGCCATAGAGGGATCTGGTGCCTCCAGACGTGTGCACATGAATCCACATGGAGCTTATCCTGATGTTCCACTCCACTCTGTATAGACATCTGCCCTGACTGAATGTGTTCTGTCACTCAGCTTAGCTTCTGACACCTTCGTTTCCTCTTCCCCTTTCTCCTCATATGTGTGTTTACCTAAATTATATGCCATAAACCTCAAGTTATTCATTTTATTTTGTTTTCATTTTGGGATGAAGATTCAGTTTCAGTCTTTTGGATATAGGTTTCCAGTTAAGTACATGGTCAGGTATTAACAGCACAAGTGATAGGTTAACGTTAAAATAGGAATTGGTGTTGGGGGCCGGGGGTTGCAAGAATATTTTATTTTCATGTTTTAGATGAAATTTTTATCTATTATATATTAAACATTCTTGCTGCTGCGCTGCAAAGCCATAGCAGATTCGAGGCGCTGTTGAGGACTGAATTATTCTCCAAGTTGAGAGATGTCCTTGGGTTAAATTACAAGCCCTACCAAAAACTGAGGTAGGGATGGGGAGAGCCTTTGCCTCCACCATTCCCACCCCACCCTCCCCTTAAACCCTCTGCCTTTGAAAGCAGATCATGTTCACTGCAATGCTGGACAATATAGGCATCTGTCCCTGGGCCAGCAGGGACCTCTTAAGCCTTCCTCGTGGCCTGGCTTATTTTTTTATTTTTATTTTTTTTCATCCTGTGGTTTTTCTAATGGACTTTCAGGAATTTTGTAATCTTGTAACTTTCCAAGCTCCACCACTTCCTAAATCTTAAGAACTTTAATTGACAGTTTCAATTGAAGGTGCTGTTTATAGACTTAACACCCAGTGAAAGCCCAGCCATCATGACAAATCCTTGAATGTTCTCTTAAGAAAATGATGCTGGTCATCGCAGTTTCAGCATCTCCTGTTTTTTGAGCTTGGCTCCCTCTGCTGATCTCAGAGTTTCCTGGCTTTTCCTCCCTCAGCTCCTTCTCACCCCTTTGCTGTCCTGTGTAGCGATTTGGTGAGAGAAATCATTGCTGCCCCTTCCCCCCAGCACCATATATGAGTCTCAAGTTTTATTATTGCAATAAAAGTGCTTTATGCCAGCTTTTCTAAATATATATATGTGTGTGTGTGTGTGTGTGTGTGTGTGTGTGTGTATAGCGCCAAATAAGAAAACCTACTCATTAAAATAATTTAATATTATAATATGACATATTTCCCCAAGTCAAATTATTAAATGTAAAGCACCAGGGCTAGATAAATCATTCTTAAAGAGCATTTTTATAATTTTTATAAATTAAATTTTAAACTTCATTTAATTTCTTGTAGTATTCAACTACGACAACAAATTCACTTGAAATTGGAGAGTAATTGAAACACAATCTATCCAAAAAAAGTCATGTAGTAAAGTCTTGAGAGGACCATTTCCCCAAGAATTCCCATAGTAATTTATTGCTCTTTGAGAGGGCTGTGTCATCAACACATTAATTATTGGTACAAACAGACAGCAGTTGTCAAGGGGAGAAATCATTCTGAGAGAAAGCTGTGTAAAGGAATTCTTTCACCAGTGTGGCCCCCTGAAGGATAAATCACTTTTCTATTACAAAACATTCAACTTTAAACCAATAAACACTGTTGTGTTCTGCTCAACAGCTCATAGTATTACACCACATCACACATTTTACAGCTCATAAATGTACACTGAATACAGCTCAAGTTTAGTGATCATAATCTTAACTCTATCTCATTGATATTTTTCTAAGAAATGGACAATGAACAGCAGGAAAAAATCACAACTTTTATAATAAAATATGGTATGTTTTCAAAAGACTATTAAATACAGTAAGATATAGTTTGTTTTCAAAATATTATGATTTATTGTACTATAAAAACAAGAACAAGGTAGGTCAACTTTGATAAGTGAGTATAGTCTGCTCCTCAGAATTTCACTCTTTTTCTGTAGAAAAGTTCTAAAGTTATCTTTTGTGTGATAATTAGATGAAATGAATATTCCTTTAAAAATAAATTAAAGGAGTTTAGCAGGCTATTCATAATGTAAAGAAATGGTAAATTTTCTCAAGCATGAATTGTTATTTGAGACTATTCCATAAAACTATTAGGTGTTATCATTTTTCACATTCTTCCACATTTAACATGAAAAAGTGATGCAAATATGTGGGCATGATCGGTCAAGTTAAAAATGTAACGGTGCACCAAAAATGAAGAGCCTAAAATTATACTAACTGCACTAAAGATTTCCGTCTCTAACAGAAGCATGACCTTGAACAATTCATGATTCTTCAGTTACCTCATCTATAAAATAAAAGTTTTATATATTCTGTGATTTCCAAGATTAGTCCCAGCCTAAACATTCCATAATTTTAAAAATTATAAGAGACACAGTAGTTTGCTGGTGATCCGTAGTCCACGGCAGTTAAGAATAAGCAGTTTTATTGTTAGAGCATTTTCTTATACATTACAAAATTAAACTTCAGACAAAAATTTGATATCATAGAATATTCTTATTTCGGTATTCATCATTCTGAATCAAACACAGATCCAGTAATAATCAGCATAAAACCACTCATATAGGAACTTGAAGAGCCATCAAGACTTTAAATGCCTTACATACCTTGTCAGTGTAATTTGATCAGAGACTATAGAACTACATTTTTATTTAGAGGCAGGTATTGAGTCTGTCATTGACTTTCCCATATCCAGAGATACAAATATGTTACTCCAAGAAACATAATCAAGTTATACCATATTTAAATGTATGATTTAAGAAAAGAACCTTCTATTCAAGACTATAACTGGTTAATTGATCAAGTGAAAAAGGACATATTATTCTTTATACTCTAACATATTCCTACCTCATTTCACTACTATGCAAATTTTTCATGTACATTTCTAAGCCTGCCCAATTTAATATTCAAGAGAACATAAAGCAAATCTAATAAAGTTTATTTTAAAAACATATACCCATTTTAAACAGCTTTCTTGCAATAGTCGAGCTCAAAAACAAATTCCATGCCCAAAACATTTTATCTCAAAGATAAATTTTATGGTTTGCTGGGCTTTAACAATTTTATCCCTGTTTGAAATAATTATAGACAAAGCATCTAGTTAATTATATTTACTAAAGTTTATCATAGTAGAAGACAATTGGTAAACCAGAGCATTTATTTCTGTAATCGTTACTCTTAGGATAATTACATGGTCCTTGCTTCACATTCACTCTTCAGAAAGTTAATTATCAGCTTGAATCTTTGAGTTTACATTTTAGTTTCCTCCATTCATTTGACCAAAACAAAAAAATCCCTCTTTTTACCCATTGAAATGTATGAATATAATTGATAAAACCATGCCACTGAATGCTATCTTTTATAATCAATGATCTACTAGTGAAAAATTAGTTTAAAGAAAGATGTAACATTAAGAATGATATTGTAATTATTTTATGAATAAACTTTGATTATAGAAGACTATAGGTTATAATCTAAGAGTCTAATAACCTAATTGATTTTCTTAGATATATTAATAATAATTCCCTTCTGATTTTCTAATGTTATATATTTAGTATCATTAACTCTACTCCGTTTTATAATAAGGAGATACATTTTAACATGAATCAAAGACAATCACGTGGGTGTACATATTTGGACAAATTGATATATCATTTATATTTTGAATACATGATTAAAATATCTGATTATGCCTCCTACATTCACAGAACAAAAATGCTGTAGCCTTCAGTTTAAAATTACCCTCATTATTGCACTTTCAAAAGTTTTCCTTCCCCTCTGTCAATATCACATGCTTGCATATACCTACATTATGAAGCTTCAAATATTTATTTTATAGAAGTCAATAAATAAAATATTTTATCACTTTTTAAATCAATTCTATGAGAACAAAGTATATATGGTAGTACCTTTGGATACTGCTTGACAGGAATCAGTACTCTTTCTGAGAGCTTTATGTTTTTGTTGCTGATGACATCAAGATACTTCTTTTCTTCGTCTTCCTTTTTTCCATCAGAACCTTGAAATTTTTCAATTTCTGGAAGAAAATCACAAGAAGAAAACAAGTGAAATGAGGGAAAATGTTATAAATATGCTGAAAAATGCTATCATAAATAATATTAATATTACTCCTCTTCTCAGATAAGATTTTGATGAATATCTATAAAAGGCCTGAAACAGCATCTCGCTAACAGTTATGTGAATGCTGCCACTGTATGTAAGAGAAGCTCTGTCAACTCAAACTAAAAAGTGATAATTGAAGATGTGACTGTGTCTTCTGTGAAAAAATTGATGAATTTAATTAATTTTAATATTTTCAAACAAAATTAAAAAGGTTATATATGTCCTTTGACTATTTAAACTATTTTAGCAAACTTAATTTTTTCTAGGAGCAATAAATAGAACAAAATACATTTTAAGGATATATGTTTTATTTTTACTCAGAATTATTCCTAAGAAAATAAAAATAATTAAAATGGTAATTATTTAGTTAGCTAAAATAGGTAGTAAAGAGAAATTGCATATTTTACAAGGGGTTACAGAAAAGTCATATAAATGATTAAATCTATAAATGCTAACATTCGTATTCATCAACAAGACATTATCAATATAGGTGTTTAGAAAAACATTAGAATATTACCAAATTTGATATTTTGGAGCACACTTATCCACTCCTTCATTTTTGAATTAATTTATTCCATAAAAAATGTTAAATCTCTACTAGGTACCAGAAATACAACAGAAAACAATAAAATGTCTGCTTTTATAGACTCTATATTCTAACGTGGAAAATGAACAGCGAGAAAATGAATATATGGGCACACATACAGTTATGGCTGGAGGCAAATAATAAACACATTATGCTGTTATTAATACAAAGGAGAGTCAAGCAGTGGCTATTACTTCAGATTTGAAGGGTGATATTTGATCAAAGCCCTGAATGACAGAGAAGAATAAGCCATGAGAAGACTGAGAATAGCTTAATAGTCTGATGAAAAACAAGCTTTACTTGATCTTGGAATAGTAAGAAGCAAGAAATCCTGTGTGGCAGAAGAACAGTGAATGTAGAAAAAAAAGCTTGATAGGTGATTACAGGACAAATCATGTAAGAACTTCTAGGATACATGATGTTTTCTACTTTATATTGTGACTTCAATGGTAAGCCTCTGGATCACTTTGAAGAATAAAGGAAGGCAGTCACATTGTATTTTTATTTTTAAGGATAGCATAGTATGTAATATGCAAAATCAATCACAGCAGAAGGCAAGCAAACAAGGAAACCAACTTACATTTGTCTAGTTGAGAAACGAGGCTGACAAGGTAGGAATGAGATGTTAAAAGACTGTGTAGTTACAACTAGAGTCATCTCATGCAATGCACTATGTAAAATAAGTGTTTTGGAGAATTATTAAAAATTCATTTTAAAAATTTCCCTTTTTATATAGTTATTATTATGACCATGATATAATCAGTAAATATTTCTTTTTGTTCTTTGCTGTTGGTCAGTGTACTAAAATATTAACTAAATTAAGATATAAATGTGACAGTGTTTTATTTCTGCTATGGATAGAACAAAACATTCTATTTTTGTTATTTTGGAGTAGAGAAAAGGTGCTGATAGTTATTAAGTATGAACATGTTTCATATTATATTGCATTTTAAAACAATTATCTTTAAAAGGTCTGACCTACTTCCAAAGGTAAGGGGAATATATATTTTATCTAATGGTTTTCTTCTTTGTTATTCTAGCTTTAACTAACATTTTTCCCCCAAATGTTTTCAAATGGCTTAAAGAAAACTTCCTAAAACATTCCAATTAGTAACATTTTTGCATACTATTTATTTGGGCTGTGTGGAATTTGAAACAATTATTTTGGAGTAATATTACATTACTTACCCAGGTAGTGCCTGAGTGAAATCTACACTGCATAATTTTTACAAAGTCATTTATAATCATCTTATCAGTTATATGGTACAATTTCCCTAAAGACAAGTATCTTGAACTAAACTGAATTTTTTGAAAATAAGTTATATGTCTATAATTTCTACTTAGTATGATAACATCAGATTCCTATGTTCTACATGGAAGTACTAACAAGTCACTTTAACTGACTCTTTAAACTGAAAATCACTTTATTCCAACTTTTCAATCCCTTATATAATTATTACAACCAGAACTATGATAACTGCAAAGAAAATTCATTCATCATGTCCTCTGATAGTAAGAATAAACTTTTGATCACTGCCCTGTGGGTACATGCACCTACATACCATAGCTTGCTGAGGTTAATTGTAATGTAGAACACATTGAAGAAGCTGACTCAATTCCTGATCTATAATACATATGGCTTCTCCCTTGTTACTTTTTCATAAAAATAAATTGAATTTCTCTGACATTATTTGCTATCCACAAAACTACTACCTTAGGCTCTTTTAGACATTTGCAATTTGATCAGGCCAGGATTAATTCTACTAACCTTTCCGTCAAGAAACAGAGTTAAGTGAAATAGCATTTCCACTGCTATTTCTATTCAATTCTACAATTTTCTTTTGAAATTTTTTGGTATTATTTTGCCCTCCTAATACTTAAAGGAAGTTATCTTGTCTTCTTTGGCATATCTCCATGACTAATAGCTCAATACTTGCATTTGTCAAATGCAAGGAACAAAATGGTATATGCCAAACTTGCCTGGGTTTAAAACCAAAGAAAGCTTCATCCATGTCTCTGTAAAAGGACATGAACTCATCATTTTTTATGACTGCATAGTAAACCATCATTCTCAGCAACTAACGTAAGAACATAAAACCAAACACCGCATGTTCCAGAGATCCAGAACAATGTGGGGATGCCCTGTCTTACAATTTCTATTCAACGTACTACTGGAAGACCCAACCAGAGCAATTAAGCAAGGGGAAAAAAAGGCATCCAAATAAGAAAATAAAAAATAAAGCTATTTGTTTGCAGTTGACATGATCTGATATTTAGGAAACCCCTAAAGACTTCACGTAAAAACCATTGGGACTACTAAGTGAATTCAATAAAGTTGCAAAATATAAAATCAACATCCAAAAATCAGTTGCATTTCTATACACTAGCAACAAACTATCCAAAAAAGAAATTAAGAAAACAATCTTATTTATAAGAGTATCAGAAATAATAAAACATTTGGGAATAAACTTAGTTAAGCTGGTTCAAGACTTGTACACTGAAAACCAAAAGCATTGATGAAATAAATCAAAGACAAAAATAAATGAAAAGACACTTAATAGATTGGAAGAATTAATATTGTTAAAATGTCCATAATACCCCAATAACCTAAAGATTCAGTTCAATCTCTGTCAAAATCCCCATTTTTTATAAAAATAGAAAAAAAAAAACCCCAAATTTATATAACATGTTAAAAGAACTTCAAATGGCCAAAGTAATTTTGAGAAAATACACAACTGGAGGCATCACACTTCCCAATTTCAAAATATATTATAAAGTCATAGTAATCAAAACAGTATGATACTGGCATAAAAACAGAAATATAGGCTAGTGGAACATAATAGGGAGCCTAGAAATAAACCTATACATGTATGTTCAATTGTTCTTTGACTAAGGTTCCAAGAATGCACAAGGGAGAAAAAAAGTCTCTTCAATACATACTGTTGAGAAAACTGGATGTCCACATGCCCAACAATAAAATTGGACCATTCTCTTACACTGCACAAAAAAATCAACTCAAAGTGAATTAAAGACTTAAACATAAGACCAGAAATTGTAAATCTCTTAGAAGAAAAAGGGGTAAATGCTTCTTGACATTGGTGTGGGGACTAATTTCTTAGCTATGACCACAAAAGCATAAGCAACAAAAGCAAAAATAGACAAGTGGGATAATATCAAAGAAGAAGTTTCTAAATAGCAAAAGAAACAGTCAACAAAATGAAAATGTGACCTACAGAATGGAACAAAATATTTGAAAACCATATATCTGAAAATAGAATGATATCCAAAATAAATAAGGAACTCCCACAACTTAATAGCAAGAAACCAAATAATGAATTCAAAATGAGCAAAGAACCTGAATAGGCATTTCTCCAAAGATGATATACAAATGGACAATAGCAATATGAAGAGATGCTGGACATCACTAATCATCAGAGAAATGGAAATCAAAGCAACAATGAATTATTACTTCACACCCGTTAGTATGGCTATTATTGAAAAAACAAACATTGGCAAGGATGTGGATAAAAGGGAATCCTTGTACACTGTTGATGAAAATGCAAACTGGTGAATCCACTAACTATGAAAAACAGCATAGAGATTCCTTTAAAAAATTAACCTACCATATGACCTAGTTGTTATGGTCTGAAAGTTTGTGCCCCGCCGCCAAAATTTACATGTTCAAATCCTGACTCCAAGATGACAGTTTTAAAAGGTTAGGCCTTTGGGAGGTGATTATTTCATAAGAATGGAACCCTCATGAATGAAATTCATGCTCCTAAAAAAGAGGCCTGAGGGAGAGCCCCCAACACAACTTCTACCATGGGAACACAGCTGGAAGGTAAGGAGACAACTACACGGCAGCATCCACAAAACAGAAATTGGGCCCCTACCCAGATACTGAATCTGCCCGCACCAAGATCTTGGACTTCCTAAACTTCAGAGCTATGACACATAAGTGAGTAAGTTAAGGGAGCTCATTCACCCCTTCTACCATGTGAAGACACAAGAAGAAAGCATCACCTATGAAGCAGGAAATAAGCCCCCAGCAGAAACCAAACATACCGGATCTTGGAATTTTCCAAGATTTTGGATTTTCTTGGATTTTCCAGCCTCTAGAATTGTGAGAAATAAATGTTTATTGTTTCTAAGGCACTCCATTTATGGTATTTTATTATAGCAGCTCTAATAGACTAACAGACCATAAATTTATACATGAGGAATCTAAAATAGTCAAACTCATAGAAGCAAGAAGCATGGTGATGACAGGGACTGAGAGAAGGAGGAAACAGGGAAGTGTTGGTTAAGAGATACAAAGTTTTAGTTAT